TTCTTCATAGAAGAACACACACACACACACACACACACACACACACACACACACACACACAGGCTTCTTTTTCTCATAAATGAAAAAAAATAGTGGGTTTTAACAAGTGAAAGGAATATGGAGCCCAGGGCGCCCAGATGCTAAATATAAGGAAACAGGAACAAAGAAGAGATGGGAAGGTTAAAATGAAGGTGTCTACAGATCCCAAAGGCAGATTTAAGAAGCAAGGAAAAACAGAGACCCAATGATACTAGGACTCAAGTCTATTTTTTTCTTAAAATAGTTGAAGATGTAGAACGTACCTGTTTGAAAAATGACTTCCAGGTGAAAACTATAAAATATGTATACATTTTAATTTTGGACATTTTCCCAGATTCACTCATCAAGGTGAATTACTCACAAACTATGTAATTATTTTAAGAATACCATTTTTTTAAAGATTTTATTTATTTATTTATTTGACAGAGAGATAGAGAGAGTACAAGTAGGCAGAGAGACAGACAGAGGAAGAGGGAGAAGCAGACTCTCCACTGAGCAGGGAGCCCAACGTGGGGCTTGATCCCAGGACCCTGGGATCATGACCTGAGCTGAAGGCAGCTGCTTAACCGACTGAGCCACCCAGGCGCCCCAAGAATACCATTCTTCACTTTAGCTTATGACCATTTCCTTTTTAAGCCTTACCAGGAAAGGTTTACGGGAACCCAGAATTCCATTTTTGTTTATATAAATGACACAAGATGACTTTTAACTGCAGCATCAGAATTCTACGTTTTGAGATTACAAGCACATCACATACTAATGATGTACATTAGCTTCTTATCCCACTGTAGAAAGAAAAATGAACAGACAAACCCAGTATTTTTTTGTGTGACATCCCAAAGCCAGATAGGGAGTTTTGCTTTTAGCTACTTTCAAGGCTTTCAAATGACCATTTAGAATTTGACCCATGGTGTTTATTCTGAAAAATAAGCAAAGTAGAATAATCATGCAGGTAACCCCTGAGAACCTAGAGAAAGGCTTGGGTTAAGGGAACAGGAGGAGGAGGGGAATGACAGACTGTATCCATCCTGAGTCACCTCCTGGGGTTTAAGTTAAGCAGCTGGAATCCATTTTCTCCATTCTCTGACACAGCAGACGGATGTACTGCATGAATGGGTTGCATTTCACTTTTCATAAAAGCCTAGAACAGTCAGCCCTCCCTACTGAGACAGGACTTTTCATCTTGGTAAAAATAGAGAGAGATTCTCAAAAAGAAATGCTGGATTTCTCACTCGGAAGGGCTCATTGTGCTAGACAGTACGGAGAGGTCGGTTCAGCAGTAGCTTGAAAAACCTGTCAAACTCCTGCATTTCACTCATCACACAAAGAAGCTTTCCTAATTTTATTTTGACCGCTTAAAATCTTTTTGTCCTTGATTAAGCAATATGATTATATAGATCAAATGCATTTTTAAGGGTTGTTGTTAAGAAATGGGTTTTGTGGGGGCGCCTGGGTGGCTCAGTCGGTTAAGCGTCTGCCTTCGGCTCAGGTCATGATCCCAGAGTCCCCGCATTGAACCTCGCATTAGGCTCTCCTGCTGAGTAGGGAGCCTGCTTCTGCTGCTGACCCTGCCCCCCTCTTGTGCTAACAAATAAATAAAATCTTAAAAAAAATAGGTTTTGTAATGAAGACCAAAATAACAGATTGCTCTTGATTTAAATCCCATAAAGCCCCACTGTATTAATTCAAAGAACATGATTTTAGTATAACTTGTGAGAAAATAAGGATTATATACTTGCTTTTCCTTCCAATTAAAGGATATCTGAACACCTCTTAGATGGACTTAGGAGCAATTTTTCTTTCAGGAGTAAATTACTTAGTTTTAGAGCTGTATGAATATCTATTTAAGTCAATTTATGTAACCAATCAATAAATTTTTGAGTACATTTTGTCAGGCTCTATGTGAGGCTCTGGGTATTCCAAAAAGATACCAGCCTTCCCCCTCTTTACAGACAAGGAAAACAAAATGCATAGTTACTCATTCTGATCATTGCCAGCAAGGAACAGGAGATACTCAGAGACAACCTCTTTTAGATAAGGCAGTCAGAGAAGACCTCTTTGAGGACATGGTATTAAAGGTGAGACCTAAAAAATAAGGAGAGAAGCCAGCCACACCAAGCAGAGGTTTGAAAGAATTACCATTTCTGGAGGGAAGGTCCCAAGGAGTAAAATCTTATGCACTTTCCAAATACACCTTAACAGATCAAGAGAAAATGTATTTCAGACTCTATTCTTCTGTTCTCTCTTTCTGGAATTTGTTATTTGGATATAGGACAGCTTAGGCTGATGCTCCAATTTGCTTATGCTTTTTTTTGTTGCTTCACTTTTTTGGAGACTTTCTAAACTTTATTTTCCGGATTTCTGTTACGTCTTTATTTCTGCTCTCTTGTTTTAATTTCAAAGAGCTCTTGAATGTTCTCTTTGTCACCCTATTTTTCATGGAAACAGCATCATCCCTTGTCCCTCTGAGGAGGCTGAGGAGACTGACTGGGGGTTTTCATCTTCCTGTCGAGGCCCCTGTATTACTTTGTGCATTCCTTCCTCCCTCCCCCATTTCTGGTTTGTCTTGGTCTCCACCTTTCCTGTAAGAAGTTTGATGACACTTGGCTGACTGTGCATCTTTAAGAATGGGCTGTGGACAAGCTTTTAGGATTCAAGGGAAGAAGAGGGAGAGCAGGCTGAGCTCCACCTACCAGGAGAGAGACTCCCAATTGCATTGGTAAGATTTCTCAGAGACAACCTCTTTCTGTCTGCCTGCAGGATGCCAACCCTCTGAGGGGCCAAGATTCTGGGAGTTAAATTTGGGGAAGAAAGCTGGAGGTCTTTTCATTTAGTTTGTAAACTTTTACTTAATCCCTCAGCTGTGGGGCAGAGACCCCCTCCTTTAACCCTTTCAGGGAACGAGTCTAGGTTTTCTAGCTGGGTGGATCAAGAGGCAATTGCTCAGCTGGGTGGAGAAAAGCAGGCAATCACAGATTTCCAACAGGTCCCCCTGGTTTAGCCCGACCATTCCCAACCTTTTCCAGTGGCAACTAGTGCCAAGTTCCTGAGCCTTTCTAAGAACCAAGCTGGGGCATTCTGCTTTCCCACTACAAGTCAAGCCGTCAAACGTGTCAGGTCTGCTCCTAGCGACCACTCCTTCACTGGCCTTTCAGTTCCCAACTTCTGTCACTTCCCCATTAAAAACATCTTATTTTAGGGCACCTGGGTGGCTCAGTTGGTTAAGCGACTGCCTTCGGCTCAGGTCATGATCCTGGAGTCCCCGGGTCGAGTCCCACGTCGGGCTCCCTGCTCGGCGGGGAGTCTGCTTCTCCCTCTGACCCTCTTCCCTCTCAAGTGCTCTCTCTCTCTCACTCATTCTCACTTTCTCAAAATAAATAAATAAATAAATAAATAAATAAATAAATAAATAAATAAATAAATAGCTTTAAAAAAAAAAAACAAAACATCTTATTTTAGTTTACTTTGGGGGCTTCGGGAGTAAGCAGAGTTCAGTGACGTACACATACATCTACTGTCCTCATCCGGAAATTCCATGTAAGCTTTAAAAATTTTTATTTCTTGTTACATACCTCACATGCTAACGTCTTTTTTGATTGACAGATAAGTCTCATCTCTCTTGACCCCTCCATAGCAGTCAATGCTATCGACCACTCTGTGTTTCATGGAATACTCTCCCCCAACTCCTGGACACTACAATCTCCCAGATTCCCTCTCCTCTTTATGCTCACTCCTTCTCAGACTCTTATGCTGGCTCATTCTCTTCTACCCACCAACAAAATTTGAAGTTCCTTTAAGCTCAATGTTAGGTCCTCTCCTTTTTCTACTATATATTCTCTCTCCAGATGATGTCATTCAAGTTCTCTGCCTAAGTATTAATAATTCACAAACATATGTCCAATCTAGACTTCACCTCTCAGATTCAGATCCATGCATCTATTCATTTACTTGAATTTCCTTAAGATGTCCCCAAGGCAGTTTAGATTCAACATGTCTAAGAGAGAACTTACAATCTTACCTCCTCAAACCTGGTCTTCTTGCAGCATTCTCTGTCTAGGTAGTGCCATTACCCAGGCATACAAGCTAAAAACCAGGATTCATCCTGGACATGTCCTCCCATCACCCATATTCATTCCTTCTCCAAGTTTTACTGATAGGATCTCAACATATGTACAGTTAATTTCCTTTCTTCCATAACGTCTGCCAATACCTTTAAACTACCAACATCCCTCACCTGGGTTAGTGAACTAGCTTCCTCACTCATCTTCCCGATCTTATTCCCCACCCACCCTAATCTCAAGCTCATTCTTATATGGTCTTTTCAAAAGGCTGCATGAATTTCCGTATCTTTGCTGAAAATGTGGCTGATTTGTTTGCATCTAGGATACAGGTCTAAATCCTCAGGTTCACCAACAAAATCACGAAAGGTACAGCCCCTCTCTACCACATGTTACATCTCACATCATGCCATTCTTCAGTGTTCTAGACTTTAACCTTATTGACCATCTTTATTTACCTTAAAGCCCTGTGCCTCCCCTCTGCCCCTTCCAACACAGGGCCTTTGTATATGCTGTTCCATGTGTTTGTTTCACCTTTTCCTAGCTATAATTTCATCTGTAATTGCTCAGGTGTCACCTCCTCCAGCATGAATCGGGTGCCCCATCTTGTGCTTCCCTCTGTTGTATTATATTGCAGTTGTTTGTTTACACACTTGTCTCGTGACCACAGTGAGAGCTGCTTGAACAGCTTTTGTATCTTTGTATCCTCAGCAAAAAGCAGATTCTGACACCTAGTATTTTGTAATTGTGTTGTGAATGACTACAATAGCTCATTTAATATTGAGAAAGTTATCAGTGATAAAAACCAGTGTATACTTTTATGATAAGTTAGGAAATAGGATTTTCAAGAAATTTTTTTTCAAAGAAGAGATTTACAGAAAATAAACACCAACATTTCCTTACTTTTTTTGTTTTGCCCATTGCCTTCAGGATGGAAAGATTTAGGTCTTCAAGTGCTGCTAGCACATTCTCATATTCACCCAGGTGCTGGGAAAAATATTCTGAAAGTAAAAATATTGAAAAAAATTATGTTTGCATTTAGGTATCATAAAATAACAACAAAATAAACTGATGATATACTCCATGAATGTGTAAAACAAATAAAATGATCTAAGTGAAAACTGGAAGGTTTTCAAAAGAGACTAGGGTATCAATATTCCTCATTTCATTAAAAAAAAAACTGGTTACCATTATCCTTGAAGAAATGCTCTTTCCTACAAAAATAGGAAAAAATGAATCTGGATCTATGGACAATACTGTTAACAATAAAAAATTGTTCTCAACAGCATATTACTATAGCATGCATTAAGGCAGTAGTTTCAGCAAAAAATTAAACTACATTTTATTGTTTCTCCTGGGAGACATTTAAGCAAGGTAAGTTCTCCTCATGGTTAAGAATTAATAATGCTACAAAACACAAGGATGGCCTCCTTAGCACCTCCCATGTAATTATTCTTATTATGATTTAATTTTTTTCAACAATCTGGGCAAGCAAAAGGGATGTTTATCACATTTTTCAATTGGTAGAAATAAATAATACATTGGATGTGACAATTAGGAGTATGGAATATAGACTGTTCCCAAACAAGTTGACGTGCAGGAGAGAGAAATGCAAAACCTCATATTTACTGTGTTCTAGACTTTGTCTAGAGTCTAGGTAGTTTTCTGTCTGAAATGACAGATCTGGCCTAACCAAAATTCATAGGAAGTCATATATTGAAAAGACCTAGAACTTTAAGTCACTAGAAAATCATTAGCCCCCACCATTCTTGTGAACTCATCTTGGATGAGCTGTAATTTATTATTGCCTCTCTTTAATGTGCCGTAAGTATTTATGGAATCAAATTGAATGAGAAGAAAACTCAACAAAAAGCTATTTGAGATCACTGGGATAAATTTCAGTATGTTTTATGGAAACTTTAATGCTCAAGATGGAATTATTTGTTGACATTGATACTAATAACAAATGGGAAGTATCATTGAATGATTTATTAGTAAATGTGCAGAAATCATCTGAAAAGAAAAAATCAAAACAGGTGAGCAATAAAACAATTCAAGATTATCATTGTCAAATTATAATTTGTGTACACATGGATTAAAAATGCACGGCAATTTTTAAAAGATTTTATTTATTTGTCAGAGAGAGAGAGAGCACAAGCAGGGAGAGCGGCAGGCAGAGCAGGCAGAGGGAGACTGCTTAGCAGGGAGCCTGATGCAGTACTTTATCCCAGGACCCTGGGAGCATGATCTGAGCCAAAGGCAGATGCTTAACCGACTGAACCACCCAGGTGTCCCATGCATGGCATATTTTTGACAAATGCACTCCTGATTATGCATTCCTTAAAAAAACAAGTGGTGCAAATCATCTCACATAGGGCTTCTTTTAGGAAGGGATTAGTTGGAAAATAAATAAGGAAGCAGATAATCCTTAAATACCTACTTGACAGTAACATTTTAATTCTTGGCTCTGATAATTGATTTTCTGTGAGTGTTGACCAACATATCTGACCTTGTCACCATTATTTGCAATAAATGAAATCCCTGTGAACAAAATTGTTCATGAACTAGCAAGCAGTTAACGTGGTTACAGAATATTAACTTTGACAAAAATAATTAGCAAAATAGAATCCGCACCAAGTTGAAACAAGCAAAATGTATAAAGAAAAATTGAAAACAGTAAAATTGTTAGCATATTTTTAATGTATACAAAGACTCCAAAAAGACCATAATGGGGATTTCAAATGCAAGAAGGCAGAATATATTAAGTGAAAAATAGAATTTGGTGCTTAAAAATAAGGGTTTAAAAAAAAACAAAACATGAGGGAACACCACCTTTTAAAATATTTTCGTAAACAAGAGATCTGAATCAATGAAGGTCCCCTGGAGAGACTATAAATTGCCTTTCCACTGTGAAATCAAGTTTGTGAAGGTATATGCTGATAAAGAACATGAGAAGACAATGAGGTTTTTGAGCTGACACCTATCTAGACTTCCTTCCTTCATTTACTCATCTACCCATTCATCTCAATTATCAAAGCAGTTAGGAAAAAAAAAAAATTACTCCCCAAGCAATATACTGGAACACAAAGAAAATAAGTCTCAGAATAGAGAGAACTACAACACCCAAGCCATGGATAAGGATAAGGGTTATTTTGAGGTGGCACAGGTCAGTGCCACTCAAATTGTTTTACAACTTACCAAGGGGCATGTACCAGGGCAAGTAGGGCTCCAATGAACTCAAAGAGGGAAATTAGATGAAGGAGCCAGAGACATTTAACATGGATAAAAGGAGAGAATCCCCACCCTCCACTTCATGATGGTGAAGGTTCATTTAGTCAATCCAGGACTTAACACCTATTTATTTAGTGCCTTCTGTATGCCAGATGGGTTATACTAGGAGCCTGGAATACAAAGAAGAGAGAATATTTAAGGAGCCTACAACCAGGTAGGGGAAATAAACATTCCAACAAACAACTGCTATACACATGGTCATTGTTCCAGACAATGGTTCAATAACTCAGGTACAAAATGCAACCAAAGTACAGGGCAAAGCAGGGGACATCCCTGTATTGCCTTGTTCTAGTGGCCAGGGGGCTTACATTTGTGGACCCCATAGGACCATGGAGAAAGAGTTCTTAACTAGGTAGGCTCCCACCCCCATGGCACAGCACAGAGATGGCAGACTGAAACATACCCATAGTCTTTCTGAGAAAAAAGGCCCAGTAGCTTATCTTCATAGCTATGGCCTAAGAGGTAGGCTTGTAATTAAACACACATCTAGGGGCCAAAAACAATCCTCTCCAGAGACTGGGGAGGCTGGCATCACCATCTATGTGCTCCCTCTTAACCCTACCCCAGGTAATTGGTATCTTTAAAGAAAGGAGCTATGGATACATTTGGCACCAAGGCTTTTGGGGTTGTTGCTGAGAGGGCACATCCCTTGATAGCCTGGCTCTGATGGCCAGCAGGGTTTGTGTTCCTGAATTCAACAGGATCGTAGCAAAGAAAGAAACAGTTCTTAAGTGGCTATTACCCAGGGATCAGTGCAGAGGGAGCAGACAGAAATAACCATCACCTAATCTTCTCCTGAAAGAGGTTGAAAACTATTCCCTGAGGGTCTCGTGCTATAGCCTCACTGTCAGTGTTGACTGAGATTCTACCCTTTGGGACACTGACCAGTCTTGTCACATCCTCAATTACTTGGAGCCACTAGAATAAAGTGGGCTACTTGAACAAGATTTGAAGACAACCAAGAGCTAGGGCAGGGTTGAAAGATAAGGTACACTCAGAGCTTTAGAAGTAAGGTACACTCCCTCGAGACTGGAAGAGGTGTTTGTTTTATCTAATGCATAGAAACCAACTCAGAGAGTCAAGGAAAATGAAGAAACAGAGGAATATGTTCCAAATGAAAGAATAAGGTAATATACTTTAGAAAAAAGACATAATAGAGATTAGTGATTTACCTAACAAAGAGTGCAAAATAATGGTTATAAAAATGACTGCCAATTGGAAGAATAAATGAATAAAGTTAGAATTTCACAAAGATACAAAATACAAAGTACCAAATAGAAGTCATTGAATCAAAGAATGCAATAACTCAAGTGAAAAGTACAACAAAGGGCTTCAAAATCAGACTAGATGAACCAGAAGAAAGGATCAGTAAACTCGAAGAAAGGACAGTGGAAATTATCCAATCAGAGCAGCAAAAAGAAAAGGAATGAAAAAAGAGTCAGGAGAGCTTAAGAAACTTATAGGACATCATCAAGAGGACCAACATTCACATTATAGGGGTCCCAGAAAGAGAAGAAAGAGAGAAAGGGGCAGAAATCTTGTTTGGAAAAATAATGGCTGAAATCTTCTCCAACCTGGGGAAAGGAAACAGACATACAGATCCAGGAAACCCATAAACTTCCCACTAAGGTGAAGCCACAGTTAACCTCACCAAGACACATTATAATTAAACTGTCAAAAGTTAAAGGCAAGGAGAGATTTTTAAAAAGAAGAGAAAAACCAACTTGTTAGGTACAAAGGAACCCCTAATAAGACTATCAGCAGATTTTCAGCAGAAATTTGGAGGCCAGAAGAGAGCAGCATGATATATTCAAAGTGCTAAAAGAAAAACACTGTCACCCAAGCATACTCTAGCCAGGAATACGTCCTTCAGAATTGGAGATAGAAATAGTATTCCAGAGCAGCAAAAGCAAAAGGAGTTCGTCACCACTAGGCTGGTCTTACAAGAAATATTAAAGGGACTTCTTTGAGCTGAAATGAAAGGGTACTAATTATTAATAGGAACACACATGAAAGTGTAAATCTCACCGGTAAAGGTAAATGTATAGTAAAATTCAGAATAATCTCATGTTAGAAAGGTGGAGGGTTAATCACTTATAAAGCTAGTATGAAGGTTAAAAGACAAAAGTATTCAAATAATGATAACTACAGTAATTTGTTACCAGATACACAAGATAAAATATATAAATTGTGACATCTATAACAAAAAACGTTTCACAGGGGTGAGGGAATAAAATTGTGGAGTTTTAGAATGTGTTCAAACTTAAGTTGTTATCAAGTTAAAACAGACTGTTACAAATTGTTTTATGTAAGCCTCATGGTAACCACAAAGCAAAAACCTACAGTAGATACATACACACACACACACACACCCACACACCCTCACCCATACACACACACTGAGAAAAAACTGAAATATACCACTACAGAAAAACATCAAATCACAAAGGAAGAAAGAGAAAAAGGAACAGAGGAACTACAAAACAGTCAGGAAACAATCAACAATACATAACAAAGCACATATGTATCAATACTTACTTTAAATGTAAATGGACTAAATTCTCCAAAAGACAGAGTGGATGGATGGATTTAAAAAATCCATCTATATGCTGCCAACAAGAGACTCATTTAAAATATAAGGACACAGACTGAGTAGAAACCAAAAGAAAGCTAGAGTAGCTATACTTATATCAGATAAAATAAACTTTAA